AAAATCCCAACGCAACAATCAGTTGCAACGTAGCCAACTGCACAGCCACAAAGAGCTGGGGTGACTCATCAAGGAAAGTACCACCTGGCATTCTCTTTTGCATAACCTTTTCACCAGCGAGGTCCCAAGCGAAGGATAAATTGGTGTCACAAATATCTGGGGGAAAGGGAAATTCCATCTTCCCCAGAAAACAATGCCACAGTACAGCTGCAAAAAACAAACAAAAAAAAAAACCACACACCAAAAAATCCACAACCAACATACCCAACGCATCTTCCTTCTCTAGTTTCCCCACAACAACAATCCTATGAGGTGTATGGGGAGTCAATTTCATCCAGCTGGCTTTCATGGCTAAGACGGGATTTGAAGTCACAATTTTCTGCTTTTTAGCTTAGTACCTTAACCACTAGACCAGTGGTGGCGAACCTATGGCATGCGTGCCAGAGGCGGCACTCGGAACCCTCTCTGTGGGCACGCGCACCATCACTCCAGCCCCGCCTCCCCCCACAGCCCCCTCCCCAGCAGCCCCCCTGGAGGAGAGTCACCCCCAGGCACGGCCCGCATGGAGCAGCACAGCCAAGTACATAACCGGGCAATAGGGCCAAGACTCCGCCCTCGCACCCTTATAGCGTGCAGATGATGCTGAGGGGTGTGGGCGGAAGGTGTGGCTGCCATGGCGCTGCAGGGCTGCTTGGGCGATCTGCGGCGGTCCATGATACGGTGCGTGGCCCTGTAGGCGGGTGGAGCTGGGGTGGGCGGGGGCGGAGCAGGCAGGGCAGGGGCAGGGGGCGGGTTTGGGGCACTCGGTCTCTAAAAGGTTCACCATTACTGCACTAGATCAAACTGCTCTCACTCTTTCTACCTTAAACATAGATTCAATATGCAATTCCTGGGTTTATTCCAGGTGCACAGGACAGACATTTTACCTGTGAACCAGAAATTACCAGTTCAAACTTTCTGGATCAATGTTTCTAAAAAGAGCAAATTGGTTACTGTCACATAGCAACTTTCTCTCTTAGGACTTCAGCTTTAACTTGTTTCTCCTTATCTTGTCTCTTACAACCTCTGGATACCAGTCCAGGAAAGGCTTCTACATTATCTCTGTCCTTGACTGTTGATATATTATTATGTATCATCAGCATATCAATGATGCCTCAAACTGTCAGATTATTCCCCCCAATGATTTCTTACAGATATTGAATAACATGGGCAAAAGGACCAAGCCCACTGCAGCCTTCCACCTTGGGACAATTATGGGCTCAAGTGCTTTTCCCCATCACAGACCCCTGTATTTAGGTAAAATGATATATCTGACTCTCAACCTTTGCAAGTAGTCTGGAATGATACTATGCTGGTGGTGGGGTCAATAGGACAAGGAGGAGCATGTTTCCCCCATTTAAATTCTAACGAAGTTTAACTAACAGGGTTCAGTGGCTGTTTCTATACCATTTTCAGGCCTGAATTCTGACTAAAAGGGATCTAGGTGTAATCTACTACATTTAGGATATTCTGTTATTCATTATCACCACTTTCTCATCAATCTTCTCTAAAAAAGTGAAGCTTGGAGATGATGTGGCAAATGTACAACATGGCTGGATACAGAGATGGCCACTGTAAAAGAGGAAGAAGCATTGTCACCTCTTTCAAATATAGTGGCAATACAGCCTTCTTCAAAAAAAAAACCCACCCCTTGCTGCCCAAGAAGCCCAGGGGAGAGGCTTCATACTACAGAATATCCCATCCATGTCATTGAATCTGGAGGTATTGTGCCTGAACCCAATCATTGTGACTTAATATCAGATATGAACCAATATTGTGGTTGATTTGGGACATGTAAGGCTAACAGATTTAAAATATGGATGATCATGTTTTTGCGAGTGTGTTTGTGTGCAGTTTTCTTAGTCTCTGCAGTTTTCTTGGCAAGATTTCAGAAGTGGTTTGTCATTTCCTGTTTTGTAGGCTAAGAGAGAGTGGTCTAGCCCAGGGGTCTTCAAACTTGGCCCTTTAGGCACGCTGGCTGAGGAATTCTGGGAGTTGAAGTCCACAAGTCATAAAAAGGCCAAGTTTGAACACCCATGGTCTAGTGCAGGGATAGGCAACCTTGGTTCTTTTATGACTCATGGACTTCAACTCCCAGAATTCCTGAGCCAGCCATGCTGGCTCAGGAATTCTGGGAGTTGAAGTCCATGAGTCATAAAAGAGCCAAGGTTGCCTATCCCTGGTCTAGTGGCTGGCCCAAAATGACCCAGCCAGCCTTGTGCCCAAGGTGGGGCCAAAACTCAGGGTTTCCCAGTTTCTAGCCTGATGCCTTAACCACTAATACCAAACAGGCTCAATCATTAGATATTGATATCAAGAAAATCATAATCCTTTCCTCCCAAATTCCTCTCTTTATGCTTCATTCTTTCCCCTTTTCAAACAGCCCACTGAAATACATTTGTAGGCCACCTTCCTTGTGAACAACCTAACGCCATCTGTGGCTAAATAAGGGTATCTGGGGCTTAGTAACATATGTGAGGAAGGGGTTGAATTTATTAACAGATACCCTCACATATTTTCAGGGTCTTATATAGCAAATAAATACTCAAAGGAACGCACATTATTGAGAATTCAATCTGAAACAGGAACACCACATTGAGAAGAACCATGTTCATTGCAATGTATACTGCTCAAAAAAATAAAGGGAACACAAACCTATAGGATGTCTATAGGTTTCTGTTCCCTTTATTTTTGTGAGCAGTATATTTACAACATTTTATGTTTATAGTTGGTTGCCTGCTTTAGAAGAAAGAGGGACCCTGAAAGCAAAGGGGGGTTTTTGGAGGTTACAAGGTGGGAAATTCTAGTAATCTGATTTGTTGGCCAGATCGGGGAAATCAGACAAGTCAATGCAAAATGGTCATTGCAAGAGAGCAAAAATTTGGGGAAGTCCACTGTAAAGAAGATGAAAGGTGGAGATCAGGTGATACAGAATGGATGGTTGGGTCTCTCCTTCAAGAGGAGTGTTTTTCAACCTTGGTATGTTGAAGATGTGTGGACTTCAACTGCCAGAATTCTGGAAGTTGGAATTCACCCATCTTAAAAGCAGTGAGGCTAATCAACACTGCTCTACATTGTAAGGCTACCCTTAGGCTATATTGTGAGCTGTTGAAGAGTCTTCTATTCTTTGGTTTGATGAATTGCAGGGGCCTTTGTCTGGAGCAGGAAGGGTCAATTTGGGCCTGATGGGATTAGACAAGGAGATGAACTGGGTTTGACCCTGGTCATAGTTAAATGAGGTGGGGAGGGGAAAGTGCATCCTCCATTTTGTTTGCTAGATTTATTTTCTCACCCACACAGCCCAGAGACATTCAGTGTCGATGTGGTTTCAACCCTTGAGAATATAGTTGCTCAAAACTAAACTGCTGATTTCTCTTGAGCTTGGGTGCAAAACACCAAGAACACAGAGATTTCTATTAACTCGCAGAAGCATTTTTTCCCCAATATTTGAGGGGAAGAAGAGAGGGTCAACTTATTTTCCAAAGCACCAGAAGGCAAGACAAAGAACAATGGATGGAAACAAATCAAGGAGAAGCAACCTGGGATTAAGGAGAAACTTCCTAATAGTGAGAACAATTAACTAGTGGAATGGGTACTTCATCACTGGAGGTTTTTAAAACACTGGACAGCCAGTCTGTCTGAAATTGTATAAGGTCTCCTGCTTGAGCAGGGGGTTGGACTAGAAGACCTCCAAGGTCCCTTCCAGCCCCATTCTGACTTAAACTTTGTAATTTATAATTGCTTAAGCATGACTCACATATTCATTGTCCTGCTACATAGGTTGAGGGTTATATTGAGATTGGGGAAGAAGCCAGAGCCTCTTGAGGTGCCTGCAGATTGAAGATCTTCTAATGCAGACCAGAATAAGCTTGCCTTTTTAGTCTTGGCCAGCAGTGTCCTGCCACACCTTTTCAATTGCAGCTCTGCCTTTCCTTTATCTGCTGCTGATAGCTGTGGACACTGATGGGCTGCTTCCTTGTACTGTAACCAGTGGCATGCCAATTCTTTTCTCTGGGAGTGGTATTGTTGTCCAAGCCGGGAATAAATAAGCAAACATGGTGACTGCTTTGGGGAAAAGGTTACAGTTTATTGCAGAAAGATGGTTCTTCAGGAAAGAGCAGAGGAGAGAAGGGCTGAGCACATGGTGTAGTAGGTTTTTATATCCCCTCTAGCCTTTTGTTTGAAATAGTTTTCTGTTCCTGTGGCATGAACCTTGAGGCTGTTTCTATGTGTTTGTCTAGGCCTTGATATCTGTGGTTTAATCCTATTATCATATCCTGTTTCCCAGGTGATGGGGCTAATGACTCCTAGAGTTTGGGTGGGGTATGCAGATCTTCTCTTTTGTTTTCTTGATTGCTCTGGCTCCAACTTTCTGATAGTTTTACATCTGCATTTGTATGGGGCTAAAGTCTTGCTTGGGGCAAAGAGATAGACTTGGGACCAGGTTTGGTTTTAAAAAGTCCTTTTGAGGAAAAATATATTTTTCTGCCTTTTAAATATTTCCTTCTCTGGGCTAACTTCCCTCAGTATCCAAACATGACCTGGTGGCTTCTTTGTTTTGCATCCTTCTCTGCATCTCCACCTTTTCCCTCGGGTCCTAATTCCTTTCCTCCCTTTCTCCCCATATTTTCTTTTGTGCAACACCTGGATTTTCGCAAGGCATCCATTGGGCCCGCGGGGCAAACAAATTCAAGATGTCTGTAACGGCCACCTCGAAGGATAGCTAGGAGGAGAATCTATTTTTAGAACATTGTCTCGTGCCTCGCCCTAAGAACCGCTGAATCCCAACCCCGACTCAGCCCCCACCCCGCGGAGCGCACCCACCGAAAGGAAAAGAAAGGGAGGGACGGAGGCCTGTCCCTTTAAAAGGCGGCTTCACTCAGCCCAGCAGATTCGGGAGGAAGTGAAGTCAGCCCCGCGGCGGCAAATCCACAACTCGGTGCGGAGAGGAGGAGGAGGAGAAGGCTGGCTGGCACGGCACCGCTTCGCACGACCAACCTACTTGCGTGTGCGGTAAGCGCTTCGGAAGCCGACCTCCCTCTCTCGGCGCGCGGTTCTGCGGGCGGCCCCTGCCGCGGCCCCCTCCCCGCCCGCGAAGCCGGCGGCCTCTTTGGGTAGGAGCCGAGCCCGCGCGGGAAGCCCCCGAGTGCGCGTGTGCAACAGCCGGAGGCGCCCCCCCTCCTTCTCCTTGAGCGCGTGGGCTTTGCGGCGAGCCGAAAGAGCCCCCCCCCTTCACCCGGGCGGGGATGGGGCTCTGGAGGAAAAGCATCCCGCGGGCTATAGATGGCGGGGAGGCGGCACCTCACCTCGCCTCTCCCGGGCAAGCAAGGAGGGACGGGGATGGTCCGACCTGCCTGGACAATGCTTGAGGAGGGTCTCCGCCCTTTAGCGGCCGGGTCTGCTTAGTAGGCAGGGGGGGGAAGGAAGGGAGAGTGGGGAGGAAGGGCTCCGTGGACCCCGGAGGTCAAGGAGTGGCCGAATTGCCTCACCTCTTGCGACGGGTGCCGTTTGTTCGCCCTGCCCGGTGTTCCGGCACGGCGTGCTCCCTTCGGACCCCGTGGGAAGGGGGAGGCGGAGGTGGAAGCGTATGGCTGGGCTCGGGCTCTTGAAGGCTGAGACCGGCCTGTCAACTGGGTGTCTCCTTTCGTTGACCTCCTGATTGCCGCCAAGATTCCCGTGCCAGCGGTGCAGAGCTGGAATGAATGTGATGTGCTTCATAAACCATGGTTTGGGATGAGGCGTGTTTCCAGCTAGTGATGGTTTGTCTTGCAAAGGATGGCTAGCCATGACTTGACACGATGGGTTTAACTCGGACCTCTCATAGGGCTGTGGGTTTTGTGTGTGTGTGTGTGTGTGTTTTAAACCTAATTTCTTTAGCCACACAAGTACATCTCAGCTAAGGACAACTGCCTTGCCTCCTTTGCAGTTAGGTCAGGCAGTGTGAGACTTAGGAAGTCCACTGCCCTTCTGCTGATCTTGGGGTGCCCCAGGCTGGCAGAAAAGTATATTATTTCATGAAACCTGACTGTATAATGGATAGCCCAGATAATTTTTTAATATCATTGACTGGGTTGTGCAGTGCTTCAAGATTGATTTGCAGAAGAGACTTTGGAATGTACAAGAGCACAAATAGCACATTTCCCATAACTCATTAAAGTAACCTTGTCTGTACTTGCTGTGAGGAGAGATCTTCACTGCACAGCCTTAATAAGAACATATCTTTCATTTTGGTAGCCAGAGTGTAGATGGAAATGGGTTTACACATGTAATGATAATTTGGATAGGATTAGATGAGCTAAAAAATGTTCAGACCATAATTGTGTTTCCAAAATAAGATTCTGTGCATTCCCATAGAGATGTGGTTGTAAATCTATCATGGATATAATAAATTAATGTGAAAAAGTAGTATTCTGTCTGTTTCTTAATTCAACCTTGCGTGACTCCAAATCTTGCTTTGTTTAACTATTAATTCTTGACATCTACTTCTCCCATTGAGAATCAAACTACAATTGATAGAAGGAATGGGGAATTCCAGTGCTTTGCTCAGCCTCATGGGCCTTCTTTCCTGAACCTTTCTTTGCTTATATCTGTACCAAAGGTATCCTATTAAATAGGCATCAGTGAGGCAATGCCTTATTTTGTTTCAATGGGGAGTTTTAAAATATATGTGGGTGATGGGCCTGTATGACTTAAAATCCTGTCCCTGTAAATTTTAGATGAGTAATTTTAAAAATATTTTTATATCTGCTTATTTGCATCTCAAAATAATATCCTTGGTTGCTGTGTGTTGGCATATATAATATTAATACATTTTATTGGAATTAATTTGAATGCTATTAACAGTGTGCTGTAAATATGGTCCTATCAAGCAAATTGTAGATGGCTGATATTGGTATTTTGTTTTGTAGAATTTTATTTTAAAACTGTCAGTTGGTCTTTTGACTGTTGATTTGTCATCTTTGCTTTTGCCATTACTGTTTTTTGAAGAGTAGCAACTGGCAACTTTCTGTGTCTCTGTGTATTGCGTGTGCATCTTCAGACCGGCCTTGACTCCCGGGAACTGCCTGAACAAATCTGCCTGGTTTTTTGGGCAAGGGTTTTCAGAAGTGATTTGCCATTGCCTCCTTTCCAGGGTTGAGAGGAAGTGACTGGCCCAAGGTCACTTGCCTGATTTCATGCCTGGGCAGGACTAGAACTCAGTCTCCTGGTTTCTAGCCTGATGCTTTCAACCACTGCAGGTAGACTTACAACTGGTCTTTTAAAGACCATTTGAAGTTGTAACAGCTCGGAAAGGGACTTTAAAGCAGTGGTTCTCAACCTTTTTAATGCCGTGACCCCCAACCAGTCGTAAGTCGAGGACTACTCAACTGGTGCAGCATAATGGGACTTTTGGCGGGCTCAGCAGGGCAGAGACAGCCTGGACAATTCCTATTGGTTTTTGAAAGCCAATAGAATTAGACTCTATTCAAGAGAGTCTATTCTATTGGCTTTCAAAAGCCAATAGAATAAAAGGGAGTAGCACAGCGAAGGAAAAGGGGGGAAAAATGGCGGACTGTGTTGTTTGGCGACCCCCGTGAAATGGTCGTTTGACCCCAAATGGGGTCCCGACCCACAGGTTGAGAACCACTGCTCTAAAGCATTCTGGTTATTGTAAGTGTTGCACTAACTCCCCTTGCTCTGTACAATCACATGATCAGGAACTGGGTGCTTGGTTTACTTATGATGGGTTGCCAATCCCCCCACAATCATGTGATCTTCATTTGCAATTTTCTCTCCTGGCTTTCCCAGAAAGTCAGTGGGGAAGCCAACAGGGAAGGTTCCAAGCTGCTGCTGCCTTCTGAAGAATTTCCTCTCTCCTCCATAAGCAAGGGGTGGGGGAAGCCTTTGTCAGGCTGCAGAAATGGAACTCAGGCCATTTCATCTCCAACCCAGCACACAAGTTCCCCTCCACATCACAGGGGAGCTGACTGCCCTCCTTCAGCAAGCATCTCTTTCACTCCATTTATTTAATGACCCAAGCAATCAACAATTACAACTGGGAGAGCTGGGTTTGCAGTTGTTCAACAAAATAATCAAAATTTGTATACCAAACTTTCTCTTGACAGCTAACTATATAAGGTAAAAATATTGGGTTTTATATGTGTGTGTGTGTGTGTGTGTGTGTGTGTGTGTGTGTGTGTGTGTCTTTGGTTATTCGGGTTTTCTCCCACGTAAAATTGGAAGTGTCTTGCCAAGACACTTCCAATTTTACGTGGGAGAAAACCCAAATAACCAAAGACCTACATACAAACACCCGCGAAAACCTCAGAAAACATACACACACACACACACATATATATATAGTTTGCAAAAGATTTCAATGGTTGAATTTACCTCAGTATTTAATTGTACTGTAGTTGTAGAAGTGCTTACAGCTTAAACTTTTTGAAAATTGTGATTTTTTTTCACCTTGAATAAAAATGGTATACACTATTTTTTGATGTAGTGATTAAGATGCTGTCCTAGAAACTGGATGGTTGAGTTCTAGTCCTCCCTTAGGCAGGAAAGTCAGTTGAGTGACTTTGGGCCAGTCCCTCTTTCTCAGTCCAACCCACCTCACAGAGGCAGGAGTATAGTTGTGTTTGCTACCTTGTATTACATGTGAAAAAGATGGGGTAAAAACCAATACAAGTAGTCCTCACGAAACAATGGCAACTGGGACCAGAATTTCTGTTATTAAGCAATAATAAAGTGCAGTGTCATGTAACTTTATTTCTGAATAAATATAACATTTATGATTATTTTTAATGTAACTTGTCTCTTAATTTGGTTTTATAATTTTATTACTTTATTGACTTATTAACCTTATGCTACTGTGGCTTTTTCTATTTTAATAGATAGTCATCAAAACCCCAAAGAAATAATAACTTAAGACGGCAATTGTGGCTTTTATCTATCACAGTGATTTCCTGTGGCTGTGGCAAATTTAATTCAATAAAATTTGCTGAGCTAAAATTCCCCAGTCTTGCTTAAGAAGATTTAAGGAACTAAAATGATAAACTTTGCATAGAATTTTGAAAATAATTCTTTGTAAGATAGCTGTACTAAGATCATCTAGCTCTCTTGGCCACTACCCGTTTTCATTTTTACTTCCAGCCACAGTTTTCCTGGTACTTAGAAACTGAATCTTAGTGTAATTCTGACAACTTACTTCCTTAATAAATCTGATCTTTGCTACCTGAATCATGCCACGAAGTTTCTGATTACAATCACGAGTATGGTGACAGATTTTGCAGTGTTGTTTCACTTATGTGGCCTAACTTAATATCTGTCCTATACAAGTTGTGATATTTAGAATTGCTTAAAACATAATGCGCTAAAACCCTGCAAAATTAGATGACAACAGATTATGGTGGGGACTTAAGTATTCAGTACTGTTCTATCCCAGCCTATTGCTGTCCTTGTTAAAGGCACAAGGACCAAACCCCTGTTGATACAATAGGCTGTAGACTTTAAAACAAAACAAAGCCCTTTTAATATGGATGACAAACCTTTCAAATAGTCCAAAACACAAACAGCAAAACTCAAGTCCAAAGGAAGGAAATAGTCCACAGGAAACACGATGCAAACAGAAGAGAAGTCACAAGCAAGACGAACAAACCAGGATTCCAAGAAGCACTTTGCAAACGGTTGCCTTCAGCAACCAGCACCGCCCACACCTCCTCTTTTTATATAGCAGTCCCAAGGCGTTGCTTCTCATTGCCTTCTCCTTTTACTCTGGAGTTGCCGTATTGACTGCTGCTGATTTACTCTCATTAATTGATGACGTGTGCGAGCATCAATTAGCAAGTCCATCAGGTGTGAGTCCTGACTCATTCTCCTCACACAGCTGAGCTTCATCAGGAACACGACTGGAGGGCCCAGGCTCTGCATCAAATGTTGAGTGCTGTAATTCATCAGAGCCTCCCTCTTCCCCTGATGACCCTTCAAATGCCTCCTCCACCTCCTCCTCAGATTCCTCAGACTCAGCTGTTGGGAGCACAGGCTGGCACGGAATCACAACCAGTATAACATAATTCTTAAAAGTTTTATGAATACATTTTGCTTGACTTTCCGCTTTATTTTTTAAAATCATTTAAGCCAACCAATAGTTCATAATTGAAGCATCAGTACTGATAGTACTGTAAAGCCAAAAAACCCCCAGCAAATTCTCATAATTAAAAGCAGGAAAAGGGCCAAGAGAGGTAACAAGCAATCTGTAAAAGTCTCGTGTCTACGACTTTTAATTGGGTGATACAGTGCATCATGGGACAGCAGTTTTTAAAGTAAGGTACCGTCAACAATTTGGAACCCATGTCTCCTGTGGAATTGAAATTTGGCAAATTTGTAGTTGCTTCACTACTTACTGCCACAATGCCAGTTGGAGGTTCAATAGACCAGACCTGGACCAGCCTTCTGCAAGCTGGATAGACTGGTCCCTCTTTTGGCCACTGAAGAGCAGGTATACCAGTCTATCCCTAGCCTTCCACAGGAAATCAGCCTATTCTCACCATCTGCTGCTAAAGAGCAGTTAATTACAGTCAAGCCAGCAGGAAGTCATGTCACTTTGCTCATTCTATTTCTCTGCTTAGGTAAGGAAGTATCTCTGAAATGGATCATAGATTGTCTAATAGATCACGAAGATATGGGAGGTTCATGGGAAATCAAGTTTTAATGAGTTCCTCTGTACAAGGAATTGGGTATCTTAGAAGGCAACAGAAAACACTTCATCTGAAAGCTGGCTAGTCCCATGTGACCAAGATGAGTGGTAGTAAACAAATGGTTGTGAAGTGTTCCAGTTGATCCCCTTACCCAAATTCCGGTAAACCCAAATTCTGCAGGATATAAATATTTGTGAATAATTTTCTCACTTTTTCTTTGTTCATGAAGTATAGAAGAATGATAGACAATGGGCACAGGAGATCTTTCAGGATTTTTGACTGCATCTCTTCGCTTGAATTTGCCACCAGCAAGAACTGTTTTGCTATAGTAGCTAAGATTGATTTTTCAGACCAATATCATGTGGGTGTACTAAGTTATCTCCCTTTTGGATTTTTCAGCATTCTTCATGTACCATATATTATTTTTACAACCTTGTGAAGTTATTACTGTGAAGTTTTTAAAAAAGTGACAGACTATGAAAACAGCTGATGTCTGGGAATTGAGGGAGATTAACATTGAGAGTTCCCAGTTCACGTGTAGCTCCTGCTTGAGAGACAGCTTGTTCTAGCCATTAGTTTATTACTAGTTTTACTATAAAATACTGATTTCTTATAAGCTTCTGGGTTTTTTTTCTTGAGGATTGATTACAAATTTAAGTGACCGTATTGCATTTTTATTCTAGTATTTTTCCAAGGATTTTAAGAAGATAGTAGATGGTGATTCTATTTTTCGGTCTGCTTTATCTTTGGAAGAGGTTGGCAAACTCCCCCAATAAAGATCATGACAAGAGTATGAACTCAAGTCTCACTTCTCCTAGTTTCATTCCTCTAACCACTTTGTTATATTGTCTGTGAAATTGTGTAACCAAACAAGAAACTTACGGCTTTTTAGTAATGTGTCATTCGAGTTGTGACTTGTGTACAATTCCTAGAAAAAAAGGAAGGAATGAATCACCACCTTACTGTAATACAGTAATAATGCCAC